TAGAATGTATATGAGCCAAATTTCATTCCCAGGAGTATCTATGTGTTTAAAAGTATTTAAAAGTATCCCTACCTGGAGAGAAAGAGTTGTTATGGAACAGTGATGTGGGTGTGGAGAACCTGCTGTTGGGTAGCAGGAGTCACTGTGATGGGTGGTGATGGTGACGTGTGTGTGTGTGTGTGGAGGGCCTGCTGTTGGGTAGCAGGAGTCACTGTGATGGGTGGTGATGGGGGGGGGCTTGCTGTTGGGTAGTGAGACTAGAATCCTGGGAATTAGCAGAGGCCAGGAAGATCTAATGCTCTGATAAAGTGAGGAGTATTTAAAGCAGGAGGGCTGGGGAAGTGGATATGCAAATCAGGTTAACAATAACATCTTAGGAATTGAGAGGTCTCAACACTCATCAGGAGATACTCTCCAGGGTCATTCTGGGGCATGTCAGGTGAGGATGGCATGGCAGATCGTTCTTGAAGGATCCCAATGGCTTCACTGGGCAGGGAGCAGGAAAAGTAGAGGATGAGACCGAGGGAGACAATGGGGGTAAGGAGTGGGTAGCGAATAAACAGACCTTCTCCTTTATATGTTCCTAGTAAACTGAAGTGAAGAAACAAGTTCTTAGCTTCATAGGAAGAAGACTAAGGAGAAGAGAAACAAAGAAAAACAGAGAGAATGCCTGTTAAAATCTGACTGCTGGTGTAGATTTATTTGCAAGTACATTTAAGCATTATGCTAATTACTCATGCATCAATCATCTGTATTTCATCGAGAGACGCTCGGGGAGCTATTGTCTTTCCTGATGGTTATTGAGTCAGCATCGGAGCCAGCTGGAGTGCTGATTAAAACCTAGATTGCTGGCCCCACCCTGGGATTTTTCAGTGGCAGAACTGGATGGGGCCTAAGAATGTGCATGGAGGACGAGTTCAGAGGGATGGCTGACAGTTGCTCATCTAGGGACCAAGGACACCTTGAGAATCAGTGACTGAACAAGGCAGAGTTTCAAGGAAAACATCCTGGTGGCTCTAATACCTGAGGAAGGATGGGAGAAAACAGTAGGGTTAGAGTGCATGCCACTTCTGCTAGCTCTCAGACGGAGAGCAGAGGAGGGGGAAGCAGGCCAACCTTTGCACCCTCACATGTTTTTATACCAATTAGCAATGTTGCTTGAATTTTCAGATAAATAGTTCCTGAATAAAGCCATAGAAATCCAGGGTTAGGAAAAATTACACATATAAATCTTATTAATGGACACAGTGAAAATTACGTAAGCAGGAGCTGAATGAGGTGAATAAAAAAATGTTCTGTAGATCTCTGATCTCCCCTTTTTAATGCTGTGAAAAGACACCATGACTACAGCAACTCTTACAAAGGAAACTTTTTTGGGGGTGGCTTGCTTACAGTTTTGGAGGTTCGGTCCATTATTAGCATGGCAGGGAGCATGGCAGTGCGCAGGCAAATGTGGTGCTGGAGCTGAGAGCCCCATATCTTGACTCAGAGGCAAGAGGAAGGTGACTGACTGTCACACTGAAGGAAGCTTGAACAAAAGAGACCTCAAAGCCCGCCCCCACGGTGACAGTGATACACTTCTTCCGATAAGGACATGCTTCCTAATAGTGTCACTCTCTGGGGACCATTTGCTTTCAAACCACTCCACAAGGGTTATCCTATAAAATTTCAGTTGAGCGCTCAATACAATTGTTTTCCCCCCAGAGCCCTTTTCTAGCAAGCACTATACCACTGAGCTAAATCCCTAATCCTGCTCAAAACAATTTTGAAAGAAAAAAAAAAAACTTTAAGACACCTAAAGTAAAAACATATCTGACAGTTGCCAGAATTTCTCACCAAATAAAAACACAGAATATACAATTAAATCTGCATTTCTGGTGATAAGCATTGTTTCATTTTTAACATAAGATGGTTTTGTGTACTATTTGAAGCAGAACTAAGACACTAACATGTTTTCATTAGGTATTTAAAATTTCAGCTTAACTAGTGCCTTAGGGTTTCTATTGCTCTGATGAAACACCATGAACAAAAAGCAAGCTGCGGAGGAAAGGGTTTATTTGGCTTACACTTTGGCATTGCAGTTCCTGGCTGAAGGAAGTCAGGACAGGAACACAAACAGGGCAGGATCCCGGAGGCAGAAACTAATGACACAGAGGCCATGGAGGGTGCTGCTTACTGTCTTGATCCATCTGGCTTGCTCAGCCTGCTTTTGCATAGAAGCAGGACCACCAGTCCAGGGATGGCACAGCCCACCATGAACTGGAAACTCCCCCATTGATCCAGGTATTCATTAGATGAGGATGTAATATGCTGACAGTTTTATAAGGAGACAAAAAAAAAAAAAAAAAAAAAAAACCACAACAACTCCCACATGTAACCAAATGAGAAACAAAAGGATGTAGATAATGGGGAAGTTTAAAGGATACAGTGTAATGGGGGACCAGTATGGTTGTGACAACTGAGACAGGGAGCAGTAACATTGAGTCCATAGAACTTCAGTTGTTCCTACAGCTGCAGAATTTGAGTATCTAAAACCCCATGCCGAGTCCTAGCAGAGGTGTGAATAGCATGGGTGCGGACAGCAGGCAAACGGGTAGGATAGGAGAGCCGCTGCTGTGGACACGGGTAGGATAGGAGAGCTGCTGCTGTGGACACGGGTAGGATAGGAGAGCCGCTGCTGTGGACACGGCCTGCTCTTGCTCACGTGCCAAACTGCACAACTTGTATAGCACAAGCGCATGCCCCGATCCTTATCAATATTTAACATGGCTCCATGATCCATGTCCTGAGGACTACACAAAAAGAACTTAAATTGCATAATACCAGACGAAGCTTAGATACTGAGCCAGTGGGACAGGACACTGACCCTGATGACTGCAGTATTTTCAATTAGAGAGTATGTAAACCATTGCTACTAAAACCCAAGAAAAGATACCAAGGAAGTTTTGCTCATGGAGAGAAAAAAAAGGCGGCATGGGGAGGAAGTCGACTTTGTCTGATTGGGGTCTGAAATGGAGGTTCTGCCTTCTGCACACCCAGGACCATAACAGAAAGCTCTCCTGGGGAACCAGCCAATCCGGGTGCTATCTCTCGGAAATGTTTCCAGCTACACAGTGCGTGCCTGAGCTTCAGCTTCCCAGCTGCGAAGCAACAGTTTGGGATTGTATTCTCTCGGGGCCCTTCCCATTTAGTATTTGGTGATTAATTGAATAAATCATCCATTCCGTGAACACTTACTGCGAGTCTGCCATATGCAAGGCAATTTTTCTAGGATGTATGATAGATTCAAAGAGAGTTGTTTATTCATCATTGGGTCAAATAATGAAGCAAGTAGTTTGTCCCTTCTCCTGTTGAAGGAGCCACCTGGGCACTCTGGATGGTGGGCCTCTGGCCGGGAAACTTCAGCAGGACTTTCCAATCTCCTTCCATTTCACATTGGAATGTGAAATGTTACCCCTTCCCTAAATTTCCCGAGGGAAACCCCACTTATCTGCACCCCATTCCCTGGGGTTCCTGCTCTCAGCCTTTCAGTAACTCATCTGATGATCTCATGTGTGCCAAAGCCCCCCAAAAAGAAGTAGGGTGCTCCATCTGAGAAGCTAGCCATATAATGGCGCATTTCAATCTTCCTTTTCTTTTTACATATTAGTTACTCCAACCAGTAACTGATTCAGAATAAATAAGAGGGAGAGAAATCAAGGCATCATTTGTCAATCTGTCTGGTGTTAAACTATTATCTCATTACGTCGTCACAAACGGCCATGACACCTGTTTATTATCCTCATAGGTGAACCTGGACAGGAAGCAGACAGGGAACCTGCTGTAGCCAGTCATAAGCACCAGGGAAGGAGTAACTGCCTTTTCTACCGCCATGGTCTCCTTGGGCTGGAGAGCACTGATTAGGGTCTACTGGCTAGCCAGTGAGCCCCGGGGATCCTCTTGTGGGTTTGTCTCTATTTCCTCAGGAAAACGATTGCAAACCTGGGTCACCACACTCAGCTTTTGCATCAGTTCTTGGGACCGAACTTAGTCCTGCTGCTGACAAGGCAAACACTTGGCCCCCTTGGTCATCTCCCCGGTCCTCATGGGAATATTCATCGCAGAAGTATTTGTTCACATTGTCACCTGTCACTCATACTGTAGGAGACAAAGACTGCAAGACAGTAGATGACCACTAGGTTAATGTGGGAGTGGCCCAGGCAGATGAATATTCTTGAAACACGGCGTTTTGTATACAGATATCTTTCCTTTGTACAGAAACTGCTGGCTGCATGCCTTTAGTAGCGATATCACTATTTAGACAACCGTGTGTGACTCTGAAAGTGTGACCTCTGCATAAGTTCTGTGTGTCACAGTGATCACCACTGTCTCCACAGCTGTAAGAGGTGGCTCACAACCATAAGAGCCCTGCACCCTCAATAAGATTTTACTGTGACATTAAGGGCTGCCAGGGACATAACAGTTCTGTTTCCCTGGCGTCTCTATGTGCAAGGACTAAAGTACCATGCTATCTGAAACCTGAGGATGAGTTTCTCTGCTGCTTGTGGTGGTACACACCTACAAATCCCTGTGCTCTGGAGACGGGGGCAGGAGCTCAGGGAGTTTGGGGGAGCATAGACAGGCAAGGCTAGACTATATTGTGAGACGGGCTCTTTGAGGGTCTTAAAAAGAACAAAGCCAAACCAAAAACAGGTTGTGTCTAGTCTTTTTCTCTTTATATGTAGATAATGGTGGTTATTTCTCTACTCATGTTTTGTGCCAGGGACTGTTTACTGGTTCTTTCAGGCTTAGTCCTACACAGGGTGAAATTTTCAGAGTTGATTCCTTTTTAACTCTGTTCATTGTTTACTTCCTATCAAATATCTCCTCCATTTTTTCAAGAACAGAAACCCGATGCTTTCATGCTACCAACATTTATTTTAGTTTTGTGCATCACACTGGGGCTATATAGATTTCTGTTCTATAGCTCACTGTATCAACTAGCAATTGCTGAATAAAAAAAAAATTGTCCTAAACTGTAATGGCTGAAAATAACATCCATTTATTCAGCTCATGAGTGTGTATATCCAAAATATCCTGGTCTTGGCCGGACTTCCTGATAGATTTGTGGTTGGTTGAGGCTTTCTGGACATCGACTTTAGTGATCCTGGTTGCGCTTCTGTTTGCTTAGGATAAATGATCTGGCTTGGCTCTGATTCAGAGTGTCTCATCTTCCAGTAGGTCAGCATGGGTGTGTTCATCACTGTGAGGCAATGCTCTAACCGCAGCAAGCAGAGGCAGGCAAGGTGTCATTGCCCATGCTTCCAACTCGCACACTGCCTCGGACTCTTTCTGTTGTTGTTTAGAGACAAGATCTCAAGTAGCCCAGGCTGACTTCAAACTTGCTACGTAGCTACAAATGACCTTGTGCTTTTGATCTTCCTTCTTGTACTTCCTAAACTCTGGGCTTATTGGCTGGAGAGATGGCTCAGCGGTTGAGAGCACTTGCTGCTCTTGCAGTGGGCTAGAGATTGGTTCCTAAACCCACACTGGCCAGTTCACAGTCACCTGTAACTCCAGATCCTGGTAATCTGATGCCCTCTGGCTTCCTGGGTACTTATGTGCATGCACACATGCACACACACATACACACATGCATGCACATATGTACGCATGTATGCATGCATGCATACACACATGCACATATATATATACACACATACACTCACTCACACATGCAAGCACACAAACACATCACTCACACACAAGCACAATTTAAAATTGTTTATTTTCTAAGTCCTGGGTTTACAGAGTGGTGCTGCTGCACCCAGCTTCCAAGTACACTATATCGGAAACAGTTTACAAGGCTACATAGGCACAAGAGGTAGGCTTTATTTTCCTCTCCAAAACCATGCTACTAATTACCCGATGGAACCAGAAGTGGAAACTCAGGATCCGTTCTACAAGCAGTCACCCAACCTTGTTCTGTTTTCTTCTTTTATTTTAAAATTTTTCTTTTGTGCATGAATGTGTGTGTAGATCAGAGACAAAGTTGGAGGGTTGTTTCTCATCTTCTATTATATGGTCCCAAGAGCAAGATCTCAGGTCAACAGGCTTGATAGCCAGGCCCTTCATCCCATGAGCCATCTTGTTGATGCCCCAAGCTTCCTTCTCCATTGCTGTCATCTATCTCTACCCATTAGTTAGATAACTAACAAAAATAGCTAACTAATCTGCTAATACACTGGTGAATATTTGTGCAGTGAGCTAAGAGACTGGAGTGAAAGCCCTGCTCTAGGCTCCCTGGAGATGAACCCTGGCTCCAGAGGAGTGGACCCTGTGCTGATGTTGGCCATCAAGAGACAGTGGAAGAAGGTAAAGGGAAGGAAGAGGATGACTTCCTTCGCATCCTTTTGGCTGTTGAGAGCGGTTCTCTAACAAAGGCTGGTTAGTTTGTAGTTATGCCTTGTAGCGCAGGCCCTCACCGTTTTTCCAGATAACCCCCCCCACACACACACACACACAGTTCATCCACTGTTTCCATCAGCAACTGTGCTCAGGGCTTCCTTGCTGCTCCACCCAGGTACTTTGGCATTCTTTGATGATTTCATTATAGCTCCGATTCTCCCGAAGCAAGGCTCCCTCCAAAGTCTATTCCTACAGGCTCTTCCAGAGTCCTTGGGCCCCTGTCAAACCTATGAGTAGAGAGGCTGTTAACCTCAGGAAAGAAAAAAATGAATAAACTTGAACAGTAAAGAAATTACCTATTTCTATGAACCTCTGAAAGAATTTAACATTTTCTTAGTTATGGATGTAGATAAAAGGCAACAACATTTCCTCTGATTTTGTCACCCCCAGCTGAGACAGATGTTTTCACATCTCACTACAGGTGTTCAGGTGTCACTAGATGCTGTTTGTCATTACCACAGACACTGTTAGATATGAGACCCCCACTTATTTAAATTCCAATTAATAAAGACATATATTTATTCTTACGCAAAAACTATGTTGCTGGTTGAATTTCAGTTTACTTACAATTCTTTTGCCATCTTTATGCATTTTATGTGCTTTTTGGAAAGGTTCATTGCACCCTCAGCCTTTTCTCTCTCTCTCTCTCTCTCTCTCTCTCTCTCTCTCTCTCTCTCTCTCACTCACACACACACACACACACACACACACACACACACACACACACACACTTTAGAACTCCTGAACCACAGGGATGAATTATATTTCCTTCAAGGCTATGACTGACACATGTTATTTAACCAGGGGACCTGCTGCAGATGTTGAATCGGTATTTAATGGAACTCGTCTTCCATGAAGCACATTTAGAAACAGATGTCCTCCAGAAATGACCTATGATGTGAAACCTTCGGAAACAGAAGCAGTTCGTGGAGATATCTGTTCAGAAAAGGACCGTTGTCCTCACCCCTGTGGGGCCCAGCACTCATGCCAGCCCATGTCTCTGTCACTCCTCTGCCTCACACAGAATTCTGCAGCGATATTTCATTTGTATTTAAATAAATAAAGCTTGCCTGAAGATCAGAGAGCAAAACAGCCACACTGACTGATCAGCCTTACAGACCAGACAGTGGTGACACACACCTTTAATCCCCGTAACCACACTAGTTTGCCATAGAAACCGGGCAGTAGTGGTGCATGCCTTTAATCCTAGCACTAGAGAGGAATATAAGATGGGAGGAGACAGCTTTCTCACACAGTCTCATTCTGAGGGTTCCTGGAGGCAGAATTGCCATTTGTGGACTGAGGTAGAGGTAAGAGCCAGTGGCTGAATGTTTTATTTTTCTGACCTTCAGGTTGAACCCTAATTTCTGTCTCTGGGTTTTTTATTAGAATGCTACAGAATTCTTTTCAGGGACTATATATTTTCCAGCTGGTTCCATGCTCTTGCTGTTTAACCCACCCTCCCCTCTGTTTCTGACAGAAACTCTCCCAGTAGCCTGAGCTGAGTCTATGAGCTTTATACTCTTATACCCATGGTGAGAACACAGAGGGGACCACATCCTCTACAGCCACACAAAGAACCAAGTGATTCCAGAGCACCAAGAAGGCTTCCTTCTTATCTCCAACTTGAGCCAGACCTCGGAGCGCCTTTGCCGCTGGAGTTCATTTTCAGTGGGGTTAAAGCAGTCTCACTAATTTTTTTTTAAAGGTACCGCTGGTTGAGTACGAACGAATAAAGGATCGGAGGTGTTCACCAGTGTGCTAGCCACTGTGCACTGAGAGTGGGGGTTCCCTTCTGTCTCCTTTGGTATTCCCTGGTCCCAATACTTAGCGCTCAATTATGCACATTGAGGGAATAAATGAGATGCAAATTGAAGCTGGGGCAAGCAAGGTTTGCTTTGTCAACAGATTTAGTCACTGAAAAACCTTACTGAAAACTTTACGGACAACCTTCATATTTTATTCATCATCAGGCCACCAAGGACCGTGTGTATAAAGTTGACTGGTACCTGCTGCTCCATTCCCCCTAGACGTTACCCTTTGTTCCTGGAAGGCAGAGCTAGAGGCAACGCATTTACCCACAATCCCCAGCAGTGACCAATTTTGCTGTTTTTTTAATTATATGAAAAATTACAAAACTATGTATATCTTCTTTGATTTTTCTTTTATCACATCAATGTTTAAGCCTGTCAAAGCTAAACTTCAAAATAATAATTACCTGGTATTTCCTTTAATAAATATATTTTAAAGAATCTGTTTTACTATGTTTAATTTCTTATGTGTGATATCTAATACTCTCTGTAATATTACATTATATAAGATCACCCATAGTCTTAAACTATCTTTCCTTACATAGTGAACCACCCTGTCCCACTTCTTTCGAGCCTTTCAAGTCTAACTTTCCACTTAAAATAGAAAAGGTTGGTCGGGCCGGGAAGGTGGCAAAAAGAAGCCCCTGAAACAGCCCAAGAAGCAGGCCAAGGAAATGGACGAGGAAGATAAGGCTTTCAAGCAGAAACAAAAAGAGGAGCAGAAGAAACTCGAGGAGCTAAAAGCCAAGGCCGCGGGGAAGGGACCCCTGGCCACAGGTGGAATTAAGAAATCTGGCAAAAAGTAAGCTGTTCCTCATATCTGAGATGATGGTGACCCTCTTCCATTCCTATTTAAACATCTGGATTCCCTGCCATAACATCTTTGCCATCTACAGCTAGAATGAAATGTTATCCTGGAGCCTGTTAAACATCTGGATCCCCTACTATAACATCATTGCCACCTATAGTTAAAATGAAGTGTTATCCTGGAGCCTGTTGTACATTGTAATAAACTTTTGTAAAAATAATAATAATAATAATAATAATAAAATAAATCAAAAATAGAAAAGGTTCTGTTTCAAAATTATATAGAAAGCATTTGTAAATTAGTCTTACTTTAAAAAAGATTACAACCTGGGAAGCATCTTTTCCACCATTTTGTCGCATTTAAGCTCATGCATTTTTCTTCCACAGAGATTCATCATTGTATTTCCTCTGGAGTTGGTTATGGGTTGTACTGAAATGCGATTCCTCTCCACTCTCTCCTTTTGCCTTCCTTTGTGCAGCACCCGTGGCAGGGCCTTGGGAAGCTCTTATACTGAAGGTGGTGTTCTGAACTGTGCTACACATGGCCAGCTTTCCAACATCAAGCTTGCACGCTGTCATCGTCTGTCAGGTGGCTCCATGTTGCCCTTCAGCTTTGAAGGGGAAGCTCAAAGCTTAGCTTCCCCTGTGGACATTTTCTCAGCTGGGAAATAAAGTAGATCCTTCTGTCTGGTAAGTAAAAGTGAAGATGACATGGGGAGGATATTGTCCTGGAAAATGTACTTCCTGGATTTACAGGCATAACATGCTTATTTGACTTATATTTTTGGCCTCTGCCGTTACAGTCCCTCATTCTGACTTTTCCCTTACCGTCCTGTGTATATTGCTACCTTCTTCTGTCAGCGTTTATATGGAAACTCCACTACGGATCTTTTCGGAAGGCTTGACACCACTGTAAATTTAAAATGACCACACTGACTCTGAGTGAAGGCTATAAACAAGAGCTCAAGGGCTAGTCTGTGATCTTTGTGACAGCTACTGGCACCATTCTGAGCACTGGGGCTTTCTTTTATGTTTCAGAGGGTTATGTGGCTAAGTCTTCATGGAAAATTTCCTTCATTTCCTATGTTTGTCAACAAGGTACTATGAGTCAAGAGACTTATGTGACAAAGATTCCTGGTCCCCCAGTTCTGGATGCCAGGCTTCTGAGATTGAGGTGGTTTTTCTTGAAGGATCAATGGAAAAATCTGCCTGAGGATGTTTCCTTAGTGTCCGATGTTTAGCAAATATGTCTTGGTGTTCTTCAACTTGAGCATGCATCACTTCAATCTCTACCTTCATCACTGCATGGCATTCTCCTTGCATGCATCCAATTTTCCCCTTTGTGTGAGTCATGAAGAAGCATCTGGATTGGATCATCTACAAAGACCTTCTTTCCAAAGCGGCTCCTGTGCACGGGGCTGAGAGATTAGAGTCTCGTCTTCTTTGGAAGAAACACAAAGCAACTTATACAGGGTCAGAGACCATGAAGGACACAAAGAGCCTGTAAAGAGGCTCCAGGATAAACAGGTGAAGCAGGGTGTGGTCTATAAACCACAGATTTCTCCTGGGACTCTCCCTGTCTCAAAGGGTCTAGAACCTGCTTTGGAAACAGTCTGTTAACTGATTAATTCATGTTGTATCTTTGTTTTGGTTTATACTGAGTACTAATGCAGTTCATTGTCTGATCCTGCTTTGCCTTAATGCCTTTCATGGTTCAGCCATGTCCCCCTCCCTACTGTTAATTTCAGCCCAGTTAAGTACTGGTTCACTATTTGCCCTGATCACAAACAGCTCCTCTTCCAGGTCTCCTGTAGTCATTTAAGGGCAATGAGTCTTATTCAAGTCCATGACAAGTTCTCTGGTGCACAGGAAAACATCACCGAGCACATGACAATGTCCAGAGGTGTGGTTGTGTTGTGCAGAAGGCCATAGGATTTTTCCAGTGACTCTGGGTTGTGAAACCACTACAAAAACAGCTACATGTGTAATCATGTGACTCAAAAAGGCTTCTATCTTTGTTGTCTAACTGGTTAAACATTGAAATGCCCTGCAGTTAGAGAAGTCCCAGTTATCTCCTTGCAGACAGTGAAAAAATGCTTCTTCTTTTTTTGTTAATAGAAATGATGGGCTTCAAGTTTATCCCCAAACAGACGTGCACTCCTAAGGGCCGTGTGTAGGATTCTTCAGACAGCCAGCATCTTTCTGGGTTTCTCTTGCATTCTTTCCTTCTCTCTCACTTCATTCTTCTTTCCAAATCTTCATTCTCAGGCCCTGCCTGTCTCTGTCATGTGCACACACCCATGAGATGTTCCTATAAAAGATAAACACTAAAACAGCCCTTGACCACAGTGTGTCATGATGGCTGTGAGGTTTTGGCACTGGCTGATTTTGGTGGCAGCAGTGACACAAAGGGCCACAGTTTCCAAGTTTTACTGGGAATCCTACTCCCCAAGCGCTGTGCTTGCTCATCTCTGGTGGTACCTCAGAGAGACGGCAACGCCTTCCTCTGGTCTGAGTGCAAATGTGGAGAGTATGTGCAGAAAATGCCCACCCTTGCCTTCTCCCTCAGCTATTTAAGTCCTGACTACTGTTCCCCTGTAGAGACTGTTCCTATCAAGATTAGCTAAACATGCCTTTCGTCAGCTGTAAGTAACAGCCCTGCTTCTGTGCTCACGTGTAGGCAATCACCCACCTCTATGTTCAGCTATATATAATAAATACTTTGAGATTCCCAAGTGCTGAGACTTCTCTATCAGAGAGAACCAGTCCAACTGCTCCCAGGTTTTCTGTGTGTCAATATCATTGTCTTTTCTTCATCCCATTGATGTTCCAGCCGGTTCAGGTCCTAGAGCACTGCAGCCTACAGCAGGGCCAAACAGTCAGAAACCACAGACTTGGATCTGGACTTTGATTCTTTCATGATGAGAAAATTGCCTTGCCAGTGCTGCTTGGCATCTCTGCATCTAGTTCCCGGTTTATGATATGCAGGGAGTATGTTTCACCGAGGTATTTTGAAGATCAAATAGGATAACAGAGAACTGGGGCAGTGTCCAGCATGTTCTGAGGATCAATGCATCCACACTTTCAATTTCCATGTTTACCCCAAAGCAAAATCTCCAGGAATCCATTGCTTTGCCTGTCACAGAGCTTTCACCAAATGGAGTTTGTCGAACGCTCCATCCGTCTCTGAAGGAAGTAGAAGCATCAGTTATCATAAACAAAATGGAGCAAGAAGGCATCTTCATAGAATGCTCTCCCCTACAGTTCAGGCTGCCTCAATTACAACAAACTGTGTTCCAAAGTTTCGTTTGTGAGTCACTTTATGGAAACTATTTTTGAGTGGTGGTTAAATCCTCAAGCTGTGTCAGAGGGGTATGTTTGACTCATATTAGAGCTAGCTGGCATATTTTCCCTCTAGGTTCCAGGGGTAGAACTTCATAGAAAGGACGATCACATATTCTTAAAGAGACATACATGCACATACATGCAACACACATCATAGTCTACCTAATAGTATCTCTAGTAGCTCCCTCTTATTTATTTATATGTTTTTATTTTGTTTTGTTTAGTCTTTTGAGATGTGGTTTCTCTACACATCTAATAAAGATGCTAAACTTACTATATACTCACACTGGTTTCTAAGTTGGGATCCTTCTGCCTCAGCCTCTTTACTGATGAAATTACAGATGAAAAGTATTTTGTTCAATACATTAACACAATTTTTTTCATACTCAGTCCCATTGTGGTGGTTTTCCTGTTTTCTAATGATTATCTTTTGCAAGGTACTCTTCCTTCATACACCTTCTTATGTAAGTTTATTTATTAGTGACTTATTAGTGTGACTCTTAGAAGATAAAGTTGTGGTGTCAAATATGCTATGGATTAATTAAAATAATAAAAATAAAGAGTTTTAGTAATGACGAATTTCCCTTTTAAAGTGTTGCGGTAGCTTGATGCCCCAACCATATTCCCTGAGACGCCTTGGGTTATTTGAGACGCTATAAGAAAATACCACAGGCTGCCGGCTTAGCCACAGCAGGAACGTACTTGTCAGTGCTCTGGAGGCTAGAAAATCCACAGTCAAGGCACCAGCAAGCTAACGGTGGGCTCACTTGCTTACAGATCCTGCCCAGTGTCTTCTGGGTTCCATATGGGAACAGAAACCAAAGCTTTGTTGAGGTTCAAGCTCCAATGCCAGGGAAGGAAGATGGCCACAGCAGATGAAGAGTTCCAAAAGACTGGAAGGCATTTTATGGAGAGAAGGCTTAATTTTGTTCACACCAGGGGGAAGACTGCTGGACAGTGCCACCAACATAGACACACAGAGCCCATCACACAGGCCGTGCGGAAGCAAGCACACAGACCTACGAGCCGATACACCCAGGCAGGACTGCAAAGGCAGACCGAGAGGGCTCAAGCCTCCGGCCTCAAAGTCATATTTATATCAAATCATGTTAAAATGGGACTCTGCCAAAATTAGTTACATAAATGATTACCTCACTGTTTACTCTGTGGCTCCCCAGACATCCATCTGACTCATAACCCCACAGTGTCCAGTCACAGCCATTTTAGCTGACTCATGCTTGGTATCACGATGCTCATCAGCGAAGTAACCAAACCGCAAACTGCCCTAACTGCCTTCTCTCCCCTGAAAGCTTGTCCCTCGCATCTCATTTATAGGGAGTTAACTCATTCATAAAGATTACTCTCATGACCTAATCACACCCCAAGTCTCCACTCTCTGTCACCATTACAACATAGGGATTTGGGGTAAAGTACACATTTCCAGACCCCTGGAGTCCTTTTTTCATATCCTGGCCAATGTCAAATGATATCACATTTTTTAAAATGTTTTTCAACTCCTGAAATAAGAGTTTATTGGAGGTGATGTTTGTCATTTTCAGTTGAACTTGCTTATTCGATAATTGTTTTTCTTTTCCAGGGGGTAGCCATTTGCTCATTTTTTTTTCATGACTTGTATGTTTTTCTTTTCTTCTTACTGCTTTCACAAGCCCTTTGAATATCAAAGAGTCAGACCTAACATTTGCATGGATATTAGAGCCCTCCCTACCCTGAGGAGGTACTTTTGAACCAAGTTAAATGCTTCTTTGTCTTCAAAGTCCTTGACTTTCCCTTAAGTTGTCCTGCAGTCAGACTGTGTAACTGGGATGTCCTGCCATAGAAACCAGTCAAATTTCCTCTTATGAAGCAACAA